CCCCCCCCCCCCCCCCCCCCCCCCCCCCCGGGGAGCTGCAGAGGACGCTTACATAGGGCCTGCGCCTGGCCCCTGGTTTCCACACGCTTGGGGGTCAAGGGCTTCACGGCTTCCCTCTTTGTGTCGTTTCTCTCCTCCCGGACCACGTCCCCACTTGCGTGGGCTCGTTCACCGACGCGGCATTCTCCGACCTTCTGTGGACGCCAGGCTCTGGCCCAGCACGGGCTCCGGGGAGCGCCACTGAGCGGGGTTGCCTTCTTCTAGTCCCAGCCTGTTGCCCCGCGTGGAGCCCTGTGCTGCCACCTTGTGCCCCCGGCGGCATTCAGACCGCATGTCCCCTGCCTCCTCTGGGACTCGGCTCGGCCTCCCTCAGTGTCTCAGCCTCTGTCCCATCTCTTCCGGTCGGTCGCCAGTTCCCCCTTCTTTCACTGAAGTGTGAGTTACACTCAGGGAGCCCGTGCACGGTTCAGCGAGTTGTGACGGTTGTGTGCATCGTGTAGCAAGCACCCAGGAGACGTGGATGGTCTCCCCTGGCCCTGGGGTCAGCACCGTCCCAGGCAGCCTCTGCTCTGACGTGCTCCCCCCACCCCCCGCAGCCTCCCACACTGGCTTCACCTGTGGCAGAACCGCAGGTTTTGTGTCCACCTTCTCTCTCAAGGGGATGTCTTTGCAAGTTCTGGCATTGTTAGGTGTATCAAGCAGGGGTGGGGGTGGGGGGGGCTGACAACACAGTAATATTCCGTTGTACAAATAAACCACATTCACTCACCCATTTACTTGCTGCTGGACATTTGGGTTGTTTCCAGTTTGGGGCTGTAATGGACAAGACTGCTGTGAACATTGGTGCACAAGTTATGTACATACTTGGGAGTGAAATTGTCTGGTGCTAGGTGTGCATTGAACTTAATAAGAAACTGCTGAACAACTTCCAAAGCGATTGTATTACTTTATTCTACTGCCAGCGGCACAGTGGGGCGGGGGGGCACGAGGGGGTTCCAGGTGCTCCTCAGACTTGTCAACGTTTGGCATCATCAGTTTTTGCTTTTTAGCTATTCTGTGTGTGTGAAGCTAGGTACCGTTGTGGTTTTAATTCTCATTTCCTGGATAACAAATGATGTTGAGCACATTTTCATATGCTTATTGGAAATTTGTATACCTTATTTTATCAATTGTCTGTTCGAGTTTTTTGCCCATTTTTTAGTGTGTGTGTGTGTGTGTGTGTGTGTGTGTGTGTGTTTTGGCTCCGGACGTATAGGAAGTCTTCACATATCCTGAACACGAGTACTCTGTCAGATGGATGTACGTAGAAGAGTTTACTCAAGTTCGTGACTTGCCTATGCATTTTCTTAGTGCTGTTTTTGATGGACAGAAAATTTTAACTTTGGCGAAATCCAACTTGCCAAGTTTTAAAAAAAAATGTATGGCTAGTATTTTCTAGGTGCTGCTGACACATTTCTGTGTAGGACAAGGAGAAGACAAGACCCTCCGGTGTTTTCACCTGGTTCTTACATGTAGGTCTGTGATCACTTCATGTTGATTTTTCCGTATGGCAGTGGCTCTGAAAGTGTGTTCCCTAGACCAGCGGCATCAGCATCACCCGGGAACTAGATAGAAATGCAGATTCGTAAAATTCCCCACTCAGAACCTACTGAATCAGTCAGTTAAGCGTCCAACTTCAGCTCAGGTCACGATCTCACAGTTTGTGAGTTCAGGCCCCACATCGGGCTCTGTGCTGACCGCTCAGAGCCTGGAGCCTGCTTCAGATTCTGTGTTTCCTTTTCTCTCTGCCTCTTCCCTCCTCAAGCTCTGTCTCTCTCTCTCAAAAATAAATAAACATTAAAAAAAAATTTTTTTTAAACCCCAACCGAATCAGAAACTCCAGGATGGGTGGCAGAAATCTGGATTTTCAGAAACCCTCCAGGTGATTCTGATGCATACAAAAGTGTGAGGACCGCAGGTATGTCGTGTGAAGTAGGCATTGAAGTCTGTTATTTTTCAGATGAATATCCAATTGTTCCAGCACCAGTTTTTACAGACTGTCCTTTCTCCCTTGAATTACCTGAGTAATTACCTGACTTGTTGAAAGTGAATCGATCATATATATGTGTGTATGTGCACAGATCAGATTGTCGATCGGTACAAATCAATCTGTTCCTTCTTTCCCCAAAACCACCCTGTCTTGGTTACTGTAGCTTTTCAGTAAGTCTTGAAATTAAGTAGTGTGACTCCTCCAGTCTTATTCTTCCTTTTCAAATGGTTTTCACTGCTCTAATTTTTTTTACATATCCATACATTTCAGAATCAGCTTGTGAATTTTTGTCCCCCACAAAACCCTCCTAGGTCCTTGATTGGGATTGTGTTGACTCCGTAGGTCAGTTTTAGAAGACTGGACACCTTCACGACATTGAGGTGTCCATCCACGAAAATGTGGAATATCTCTCTTTCTTTACTTGGTTCTCTCAGCTGTGTTTTGTGCTCAGTGTAGGGGTCTTGCACACATTTGATTACATTAATTCTTGAGCTTGATATTGTGAATTGCCTTGTTGTTTTAATTTTGTTTTTCTGGTGTTCATTACTAGTGTATGGGATACAGTCTCATCTAGGAACTTTAAGTCATGCGACCTTGACAAAGTCACTCATGAGTGCCAGGCTTTTACATGCTCATAATCATGGCATTTGTGAATAGCCAAAAAAAGAATAGTTTTACTTTCTTTCTGATCTTGGTGACTTTTATTTCTTTTTCTCTTGATGCACTGACTAAAGAGCCACAGCACAAAGTTGAAAAGAAACCGTGAGAGTGGCCATGTTTTCACTGATCCCAGTCACGGTGAAGGAATTCAGTCTTTCACCATCATGGATGATGTTCTCTGTAGGCTTTTCACGGATCCCCCTTATTACACTAAGGATGTTCCCTTTCATTTCTAGTGTGATGACAGGATTGTTTTTTTAATCTTAGATGAGTTTTGAATTTTTTTAACATTTTTTTTAAATACTTATTCATTTTTGAGAGAGAGAGAGACAGACAGAGAATCCAAAGCAGACTCCAGACTCTGAGCTGTCAGCACAGAGCCCTACGTGGGGCTCAAGCCCACGAACCATGAGATCATGGCCCAAGCTGAAGTTGGACGCCCAACTGACTGAGCCACCAAGATGCCCTGAATCTTGAATTCCTTTAACTGCTTTTATTTTATAAAGTGATAATATCATTGTTCTCCTCATTCTGTTAATGTGGTGGATTATAGGGGCTCGTGTTTTTAATGTCACAACAACCTTGCATACCTGAGATAAAGCCTACTTGGCCATAAGTTAATAGCCTTTTTATATATTTTTGGATTCAGTTTAATAACATTTTGTGAAGGATTTTTGCATTGATATTCACGAGGACTATTCATCTGTGATTTTCTTTTCTCATAGTGTTTTTCTCAGTTTTGGAACCAGGGACTCACAAAAGAAGTTGGGAAATTTACCTCTTGAACATGCTTTGACATTGGTGTTGTTTCTTCCCTAAATGTTAGTAGAATTTGCTAGTGAAGTCATTTCAGTCTGACATTTCCCTTGTGAGAATTTTGATAAGGAATTCAGGTTCTGAAACAAATGTAGCATTCCTCTGCTCTCTGTACCTTCACTACCGTGCGGTTCAAGCTATCTTCTCATTCCCCATGTGACTTCTCTTTTGGCCTGTGGCTTATTGATGTATATTGCCTAACTCCCAAACACGGGGATTTTCCTGTGTTTGGAAATACCTACTTATTACCCATTTCTAATATAATTCCGTTGTGGTCAGAAAACATACTCCATGTTATTTGAATAGATCTAAAGGTACTGAGGCACGTTTTATGGCCCATCGTATCTTGTTGAGCATCCCATGCTCATGTGAGTAGGGTGTGCACCATGCCACTGGTGGATGGAGAGTCTGTGAATATCAATTAGGTCAAGTATTCTTTAAAATTTCCATGTCCTCACTGTTTTGGGGTTTGTTTGTTTGTCTTATATGTTTTACTTGGCTGGTTGTTTTTGTCCCCTTGTTTTAATCATTAGTGCTGGAAGGGCATTAAAATCTCCATCTATGATTGTAGGATTGTCTATTTCAGCCTTTAGTCCTGTCCATTTTTGCCTCATGTTTTGAATTCCTATTATTAGGTGTATACACATTAAGTAGTTCATGTCTTCTTGATGCGTTAACTTTTCATTGTTATAAAACATTCCCTCTTATCTCTTTTTCTAGATACCTACTTTTTGTGATATTGATTTAGCCATACCAGTTTTGTCGTGCTAAGTGTTTTCATTGTATATGTTTCCATACATTTACTTTCAATTTGTCTGTTTCTGTGTATTTAAAGTGTGTTTCTTATAAAAAGCATATTATTGGGTCTTGCTTTTATTGTTACTCTGACAGTCTCTACCAATTAGTTGGAGCGATTGTACCATTTACATTTAGTGTAACCATTGATATGTTGGGCTGAAACATCTTTGTATTTGTTTTCTTGGTATTTTTTTTCTATTTGTCTCATTAAAAAAAAAACCATTTTACTTTCCTCCCTTCTGGCCTTTTTTGAGTTAGTTACGTATTTATGTAGAATTGCATTTTGTGTTGTCTGTTGATGTTTCTAAGCTATAGTTCTTTTCCTTATTATTTTAGTAATCACTCTAAAATTATGATATACATTGTTCATATTTAAATAATATTTTACTACTTCAAAAACAATTTAAGACCCTCCCGGCAATGTATTACATTTACCCCTCTCATCCTTTGTGCTCTTCACGCTATGTATTTTGTTTCTACCTGTGCTATTATAAACCCTACCATATATTATTAAAATTTTTGCTTTAAACAGTCACACAAACACACACACGCATGCACTCCAGTTATCTGGCAAAATTCTTTATCTGCATAGGTATATTAAGTGTAATCTTTTTCAAGTCTTTTTCTGATAACTCCATCATCTAGATCCCCTAATGGCTCTCTTTCTATTATCTTTCATCTCTTGGCTTTCAGTCATTTGTCTTGCCTGCTGATATCCATAATAGAATATATTGAATAAGACTTTATGTTTTTGTAGGGATAACTTGAGGCTCTGAATGATACCAGCTTTTTCCAGAGGGAATTTGTTTTGATCTTGGGAAATCAAAGCAGGGGAAGATCAGTTTTATCCAGTCCTGGATCAAGCTGGTTTGTAACTGGGGTTCAGTCTTTTGTGAGGAGCAATCTATTTCCCGTGCACCCTGGAGTATAACATAGCTCTCTTGTCTCCTAGCTGGAAGTGTGGGGTGTTGACCAGGGCCTCCATCTTTTGGTGAGCCCTAACTGCAGATTTTGTTTCTCAGTTCTGTAAGACTGCCCGAAGTTCTACCTGACTTCTCAGACTCTCACCTGCCATTTCTCATTCACATTCATGGTCCCTTGACCCTGTACTTCTTGGGAGTTATTTAAAAAAAAAAAAAAATCAATAAAAAAAAAATATAGAATCTGAGTCTCCCCTCCTTTCTGATGTTTTCTGTTTTCTCCTCTCAAACCCCAGCTGCTTTGGTAGCTTTGAATGACACGTTAGGTCTCCCTGATCTTATAAGCCCATTGAAACCATAAGCCAAGTTCCCAGACTTTTAGCCAAGGCTTTATGCATGGCTGCTAAGGCTCTGGGCCTTGCATGACTTGGGATCTGGAGAATACCTCAAGGAAGATATGTGATGAAGCGCTGGGCTCAGCTGGATACATGTCTCCTTGGCTCTTGGCTACTTGGCATCTCTTATGCCCTCAGTTATATTAGACATACATCGTGTAGATTTTCTATCTGTTCCAGGTGGGAGGGTGGGTCTTTAACAACCTCCCTCATCATTACAGAAGCAGGAAGTTCTGGTCTTTATGTTTGAAGAATATTTTTACCGGCCATGGAATACTAGGATGGCCATTATTTCCTTCAGCATTTTGATGAATTCATCCACCATCTTCTGACTTTCATTGTTGCTGTTTAGAAGTCAAATGTCAGTCTTACTGTTGCTCATTTTAAGGCAATGTGTGTTTTCCCCTGATTGTAAAAGATATATTTCTTCATCTTTGGTATTCAGAAACTTTAGTATACTCTACGTGCTGTTTTCTTTGTACTTATCCTATTGGAGGATTGTGGCTCATTTTAAATCTGTGGCTTGATGTATTTTATTAGATTTGGGAAATTCTTGTGCAGTGTCTGTTCAAATATTCTCTCTCCTTTCCTTCTGTGACTCTAATTGTACATATGTTGGACCTTTTTACCTTGTCCTATAAGTCTATTACACTCTCTTCTGTGTTCTTCCTCCTTTTTTCTCTTCATGATTCAGTCTGAACACATTCTTTTGTCTATCTTCCAGATTATTAGTTCTCTTTTCCATCTAAGCTGGCATTGAACTCCTACATTTATTAATTTTGCTTATTGTATTCTTAAATTATATCGTTTATATTTAGTTTCTAGTTCTGTTGTGAAGTTCTGCATCTTGCCATCCATCATCTTGAACACTTAGTCACAGCTATTTTAAACTCCGTGTCTGACAACTCCAATATCTGGGTACCCAAGGGGTCAGGGAGGCATCCGTGTTTATATTATTATTATTTTTTTCCTGCCATATCATCTTATCTCCTGATATGCCTGGTAATGTTGATTAAATGCTAAATATCTCAGGTAAAAAAAAAAACTGTAGAAATAACTTGGGGATCTTGATGACACTGTTCCTCTTGCTCTGGTCCTGGCAAGAAGTGAAGGTAGATGATCACCATAGTCCCTGGTTGAAGGGATTCAAACCGAGCTTCAGATTTTATGAGAGATGGTCTACTTCCGATTCACCACCACTACCAGGGTGAAGTCCTGCAGCGAATACAACTCAGAGCTGCAGTGTTTGTTCGGGCCCCTCTGCTAGGATGGCTCTGAGCTTGAGTTTTTTGTTTCCCTAAGGCCAGAGTGCAGTCAGAAGCTCTCCTTGGCTTCTCAACTTCTCAGCCAAAACTTTTAAATCAAATTCTGAGCAGAGAAGAGATACCTCGTTCCTCTGTGTCCCTTCCTCTGAGGTCCCAGCTGCCTCGGCAGCTCTCAGAAGCTCTGTGCAGATTCCTGTGTTATGTTCCGTCCAGGTTCCTGTGATGCTCTTGATGGAAGTGTCGGTCTGCAGCAACCAGGTCCCCCGCCACTTTCTATGGCCATCACTGTGTGATGTTTCCTGCTCCCTGGACCCTTGTGGGTCGACCCGGGTTGCCATTTAGATTGGCAGCTGGCTCCTCCCTGGGAGTGCTCGGTTCAGGGACACCTCCATCGTGGCTATAGGCACCGGGGCCCCTCTGCTGTGAACACACACGTACTACTGAGGTCCAATTCGTCTTATGCCCACCCTCCTCCCCACCCTTCCCTCCTTGCCATTCTGCACAAAATCGCTTCTTTTCCCTGAGAGGGCCCCCCTCACCCTCCCACTCCCTGCTGGACTGTCCCTTCCCCCTCCTCTAGATCACGTGCAAGAAGCAGGCCCTGGAGGAGCAGCTCGCCCAGAGCCTGCAGGACCGGGAGGCCCAGCAGGACACGCTGCAGAGGACCCTGCAGGAGAAGGAGGCTCTGTCTGAGGAGCGGGCCCAGCTGCTGGCCAAGCAGGAGGCCCTGGAGAGGCAGGTCCGGCTCACGGCTGAGGAGGCGGCCGAGCTCAGGTACCTGGGGCCCTACCAGCGGGTTCTGTCCACACAGAACCTCGCCCTCGAAGAGGCCTCGCCCTCGAAGAGCCCGCAGTGCGGCAGGGGACAGGAACTCACTCGGCGACTGTAGGGCAGGGCAATGTTATGTCTACATGGGAGAGAGGCTGTGAATGAAGGGCAGACACAGAGCCTGGCTGAGAGGAGCATCTAGAAGAATTGAATCCAGTGAGAGTCCCGGGATGGCCCTCCTGAGAGAGGTGGCCACACTGGCCAGATAGCAAGTGCCAGAAACCCAGTCCAGACCGGCAGAAGGAAGGCATGGGATGTCCTGCTCAAGGAATTTAAGTTCAAGATACACACAGCTTCAGGCAAGGCTGGATCCAGGTGCTCCCACAGTGCTGTCAGAATCCTGCCTCTCCCTGCTCAGTGCTACTTAACTCAGGAGACTTTGTTCTCAGGCAGAGTCAGGGTGCGAGGTGGCAAATGGTCAGTGGCCACCCCAGGCTCCCTCCTCCCGCAGACACAGTGTCCTCCTCCCCCAAAAAACCCAAAAGCTGCTGCCATTGGCCATATTGAGCCATTTGATATCCCTGAACCTGTCCTGGGAGTCGTAAGGCTCAGACTGACAGGCTGGGGTCACATACCCATCCCTGAGGCCAGGCACAGTGTCAACTCCAGGGAACCATAGGCTGAGGGCAGGGCCAGAGCGAGCTTCAAAAATCAGCAGGGGCCACTTCCAGAAGACGTGAAATAGGCACTTGTAGGTGAGAACGGGGGTGCCCTTCAGGCTGTCACCTGGTAAGCTGAGCTGGTCCCATGGCCTCTGCAGCAATCCAAAAGCTGGTTGCTTTCTATCACCAAACTTGTGGGCTCTCTTGGGAACATCTAAGTATTTTTGTAGAAAAGGTTTCCTCCTGGAACTCCAGAACCTGGGGGTCCAGAACCCTTGAGTCCCAGGTCCTTGAACATCCTCACAGACAAACCTCTTTTGCAAATGAAAGTTCGCACAGAAACAGGAACAGAAAACCTAACAAAGGCCTGCTCCGGGTCAGCAGGAGCAGAGGGTCCCTGCCTGTCGCCCCCTTCCAGGCCCCACGGGTGCTCAGACAAGCAGGGGTTGGAGGGCCCCTGTCACCTGTCAGTATTTGCTGCCCAGATCACGGGCAGAGTCTGGGCAGAGGCCGTGGCAGCCCAGGGTCCTCCCCGTAGGCTCTGCCCCGATCACTGGGCAGCCCTGTGGCCCCAGACAGTCACCTGCTCATTAAACAGCACTTTGCAGTGACCGGTCTGAGCTTCCGGTGACAAGTCTGCTGGGGGCTTGTCCTGAAATCACATATGCTGGCACAGGGTGCCGCCTAGCTCCCATGGTAGGTGTCTGGCTGGCTCCATGGGCCGGAGGGTCTGGCCACTGCGGTTTTAATGAGCTCCCGGGTAACGTTGATAACCACCAGGTGCGAGAAGTCCCGCGGCAGCTCTTTGCCTCTCCGTGGCGGGCTGATGACAGAGGACCCCGGGTTTCAAGCTCCTCCAGCCCCCACACCCAGGCCCTGACCGGGCTGCAGCGCTAGGGACGCATGCCCAGTTGAGGGGTTGCTGGCTCACTCGGCACCCGGAGAGGTGGATGGAGGATGTCCGCCTGCACCCTCGCTGGTCACGCCGGGCCTCTGCTCCAGGAGGCTGAGGTGCTCTTGGGCTCCCAAAGAAGGAGAGACCGGGCACACCCTTAGATTCCCAGGCTCTGGGGCGAAAGAACATTCTGGTGTCTGAGCGGCAGAGACTGCCCCTCCCAGAGGGGGCCAGGCTGCTGTCTGGGAGGAGGTGGGTTCGAGGTGTCGGGGAGGGCATCCGAGGCAGCCCCCGCTGCCGTCTGTTCACACAGAAGCGGGGAGCAGGGAACGTGGGGAGCTCACTAGGATGGGGACTGGAAGGGGGCACTGGGGACATCGGAGGAGTGAAGTTTCTGGGCTCTGCAGGCAAGAGCGAGCCCTGGATGGTGCCGACACGCCCAAACCCCCCCCCCCCACCAAGGTGGCAGCGGTGAGCAGGGTCCCCCGGGGCCCACGGCCCTCCCCGACCCATCGATTTGTGTGGGGATGTGTGTCTGCCGTTCGTGTGCTCACGTGAGTATTTTTGTGTGTCTGTGGTGTGGTGTGTGCACGTGTGCTGTTTGGTTGGCAGATGTTTTCACCGTAAACACCTCGCGTGGGGCCAAGCACAGTATCGGTTACAACGTGCTCGCTGGCTGGTCGACGACCGGTGGGCTGATTGGTTGTCTTCTGACAACTCCTTCAAGCCACTTCACCCCCCTCCCCGGGAATGAACGCTGCTCTGAGTTGCAGGTATTTTCTGCGCATTTGTGTCTGCGTGCACAGAGACACCGCGGCAGCTTTCGTACGCGGTGGACGCTGGGCGTGCCCTTCCGCTCTGACACGTTGCTTCTCAGAGATCAGAGAAGAGAGTGTCCTCGTCCTCGATAACAACTCACTAGATGCACCGTCATTTCTAGAACATTCTGCCACTTATCAGCATGGAAGCCACGTCCAGTTAGTGCGCGATACAAGGCTGCAGTGAGCATCCTTGTACGTGTGTAGTTGGTTCATGTGTATTTCTAAAGAACCGACACTTGGGAGTGGAATCGCTGGCTCAAAGATAGGCACGCTTTACATCTTGAAGTTTCCTAGCCTCCCCTCCACAAAGAAAATGGTCCTCGCACCCTTGCCAACATTGAATATAAACATTATTTAAAGTTGCGTCAATCTGGTGCGTGGTCAATGACACCACACGGTTGTCATTTGAATCTCCTTGAGTACCAGTAGGGTGAGCAAACTTTATATGTTCATTCCCCCTTTGCGTTTTCTTTGTGAATAACAGTCATTTTTCTCATTTTTCTGTAGGATCAGCTGACTTTCTGTCATTGATTCATAGGAGCTCTTTGCATATGGTGGATATTAACTCTTTGTCCCTTGTCTTTTAAGTTGGTTGGTGAAATCTTTCTGCATAAGCCCCCAACCCCTTTAAGTGTATTCAGATCTGCTGGCCTCTTTATTTTTGTCTTCTCGGTTTTGTGTTTTGCTTACAAACTTTATAAAATACTTTTCTCTATTTTTTCTATGGTTTTTATAGTTCCGAGTTGTTTATTTGTTGTTGTGCTTTGTTTTGTTTTGTTTTTCATTTAGCTTTTTAATCCACCTGAAAGATTATTTTGTGCAGGGCCTAATTTGGTTTTAGAGATTTCAAATGAATGATGGGCCATGCCTGGCTGGCTCTTGGTAGATCCCACGACTCTTGATCCAAGGGTCGTGAGGTTAAGCCCACATTCAGCGTGGAGCCTACCTAAAAAAAAAAGAGTTAAAAAAAAAGGAATGAGATGTTCATTCTGTTTATCTTCTGATTGATGAGCCCAGCCTCGGTGGGCACTGTTCCGTTATCTAGCTAAAGGACTCTGCACCGTCCCTCATCAGCAGGACCGCCTGGGTGACCTGCTCCACTGTCTGATGACTCTGCAGGGCTGAGAGGGACTCTCTGGAGAGAAGCCTCTTTGAGACCCAGCAGCTGGTGATGCAGCTCCAGGCACAGCGGGAGCAGCTGGAGGGACAGGCCCGGAGCATGCGGCTCGCTCGGCAGACCCTGCAAGGTGCTCCTCGGGCAGGCTCTCTCTGCTCCTCTCTCCCCTCAGTGGAGCTCAGTCCCCAGATGTGCTGCTCACACTCCCCAGTCCCCTGAAGGGACACGAACACAGGCCTGGAGCTCACGTGGCTGATCGGGTCATGCCACTGTTGTCTAGGAGGGCCGGCCACCTGCACAGCCTGCTCTCAGTGCCGGGCCCAGGCGCAGAACTGGGCTGCCGCCACAGGGTCAGCATGGTGGCTCCCTACCCAGCTCCCGTGCTCCCTTCCCAGGCCCCGTGCTCCCTGCCCAGCGCCCCTGCCTTGTGTGGGCCTGGCCAGAGCCAATTCAGGGTGACAATTAGGACATACACTGCAGTGGGGCATGGAGTGCATTGTCCCACTGGCTCTGGCAGCCTCCTCAAAGCAGGTGGCTGTCACCCCATGGGGCCATCACTCCACAGGGAGTCTGTGAGGGCCACAGGGGTTCCATGCTGTGGGGGCCCTGTGGCCGGTCCCTGATGCCTCTGTCACTTCACAGTGGAAATGCAGCAGCTGAGAAGTGCCTGGGAGGTCCAGGAGACAAAGCTGCAGTGGGACGTGGGGAGGCTTCAGCGGCAGGTGGCACAGCAGGAGCGGGACTTGCAGCTGGCCCTGGAGAGCCAGGCGCTGGCCCACCACGAGGACCTGGCTCGGCTCCAGAGGGAGAAGGTCTGCTTCCATTGGGCCGCTGCTGCATGGTCACTTCCCAGGAGACTGCCATGTCCCAAAAGCCAGCAGACACATGGGGGAGGGAGCTTAGGAGACCAGCCAAGCGAGAGGTGCCCCAGCCATACCGGGGCCGCACCCAGAGGACTCGAATAGTTCACGTGGGCGGTCCAGGGCCTGGAGCATTGTGCAGGGGGGGGGGGTCTTCTCCCCCACAGAAGGGGCCAGACCTCGGGTTGGCTGACCTGGCTGCAGTCCGAGGGCCGGTAGCCGGAGGGAACTCCTTCCTCCCGCTAAGCTGTCCCACTGGCCACAGGCCCCTGCGAGGTCTTGTTTAACATGTTACACATCTTCTGAATGTGGGGGCTGGGAGAGGTATATGGGCCACTACATAGGGATGGCAGGTGGTGAGACCCAGCTCTTGCTTTAACGTCATTGTGTGAGACAAAGGGTGTTTAGCTGACTGGAGTGGCCATTCCTGGGGTCCTGTCCTGTCCTGACGTCCCATGAACCGGGTCTCACTCAGGACTACAGGTACCTGCTGGCCTCACGTGTCCTGACTTACGCAGTCTTCATAGCCTGTTCCTTTGCATTGGCCCAGGAGTCCCTGAGTCTGTCTCTGACAGAGGAGAAGGAAGTGGCAGCTCACCGGCTGGAACAGGAGAAGAAGCTGGTAGCAAAGAATGCGGCCAAGAGGGAGGCTCTGAAGGAGGAAATTCAGAGCCTAAAGCATGAGCGGGATGAGAGTCTCCTCCAGTTGGAAAATGAGATGCAAGAGGTGATGGGGGACCGTGAGGCAGTGGGGGACCCTCACATTCCACCTCACCATGCTTTCTCTGACCCACAAAGAGGGCTGACCTTTCCAGATCACTGCTATTGAAGCTTCAGTCTTCACAGCAGTCCCAGTCGACAGACATCCACCCACCTACTTATCCATTCACCAATCCATCCATCCACCAATCCATCCATCCATCCATCCATCCATCTATCCATCCATCCATTCATCCATCCACCAATCCATCCATCCATCCATCCATCCATCCATCCATCTATCCATCCATCCACTCATCTACTCATCCACTCATCCACTCATCCATCCATCCATCCATCCATCCATGCACTTGACTGTCCCTCCATTTGTCATCATCAATCCATTTATTTGAATACCCATCCTTCTATGTATACACTTAGCTCTCCTCCCACATACATGGCCGTCTATCCACATACCCGATTTTCCATCCACACACCTAACCATACGTCTATCCATCAATTTCCTTAAGCATCCATCAACGATCCGTGCACTCAACCATTCATGCATTCATATGACCGTCCATCTATGCAACCGCTCACTTGACCATCTGTCCATCCATTCACTTAAACATCCTTCCCTCCATCCACACACTCAGCTGTCCATCCATATCCACCATCCATCTCTGTGTCTGACCATCCACCCACCTGATCATCCAGTCAGTGTGTAGAGAACTGAGCACGGGCATGGAAGCTGGACCAATGCAGACAGTAAAAAGGCCCCACTGACCCGACTCGGGACAAGGGCTGCCTCTGGAGCGATGCCCCTCCCTGAGCAGAGATGTGGAATCAAGAACACAACATGTCCTGGCAGAGGCTTTAGCACCCAGCCTTCTGCTGCAGCCTCCCCTTGTGGAGGCCCCCTGACCCTCACAAGCATGCCCCCCGCCACCAAATCCTGCCAGGCCCTGTCACTGAAAGAAGAAGAGAGGAGGCTGCTGAGGGAAGAACTCTTCAGAGCCATGCAGGAGCTGGGACAGGTGCGGCAGGAGGCCCAGAGCCAACAAAAGCAAGCCGAGGTGAGCCCTGTGTGGCCAAGCCAGACACTGGGTACCCAGCCTGGCCACCTGCATTGCCCAGCAGGCTCAGGCAGACCCTCAGATGCGCCCCCTTCCTTCCTGGTCCCAGGGACACAGCCCTCTCTACCCTCCAGGGAATGTCCAGGTCTCCTGCTGGGAGGGGGCACTGTCTTAACGGCAAGGAAAGGCCCAGTGAACCAAAGCCGGCTGGGGGGTGGGGGCTTCCAAGAGCCAGTCCCTCCTCGCCAGCAGCGGGCCTGGCCAGAAAGGGGCCAGAGAGGAGGGCCTGGGGCCGCAGGTGAGCCAGCAGCAGAGGCGGGCAGGACCCAGCCCTGTGCCCCGCCCAGCCCCATGTACATCCAGCCTTGCCTGTCTGTGCACTTGAGATGCACTTGGCAAAACGGAACTGCAGGTAATGTGCGTGAGGCCTCTTGGGGCTGGCTCATTAGAGACGTGCGTCCAAAGGAGAAACCAAACTGGGAAAGGCCAGCACTGTGCCTGAGGCAGACCCTTGCTGGAAAGGACACCACAGAGAGTCTCCAGCTGAGCCAGGAGAAAGGCATCCCCGAGGGACGAGGGACAGGAGAGACCCCCCGTGGGTAGCCGCCCACAGGTACACTGAGGCTGCCTCAGGCAACGAGCTGGGGCCACCTGGGGCTCCAGACTCCATCAGGAGCCCGTGTCCAGGGAACAGGGCGGGCAGCGACCCTGGGGACCCTGTGTCCCCACCCCATGTGTGGAGCTGGGCCCCCACTGCTGTCTCCAGTGGGGGAGGCTCAGCCTATTATGAAATGCAGTGCAGTCCCACCAGTGTAGGCAAGGTGGGGATGACCCCTGCCCCCGCAGGGGGAGGTGGCCAGAGCTAGGTGAAAGGACCACGGCGAGCTCAGGGGAGGGCTGTCTGCAGCGGGGTCAGGACCCCAGGGGCAGGCACTGAGCAGAGGCAGGCAGGGAGCAGCCCAGAGGCCCACGGTGCATGTCTCGCACCCCGCAGACTGCAGGGAGCCAGCGTGGTCCAGGGCAAGGCCAGGCCAGCACCTTGTCCCTTCTGCCTCCTGCCTGTGTCCTTCCAGCTCCTGTCACCTTCGTTTTTATTCCAGGAGACCCTTTTTCACAACTTGTCCCTGGTGTGTCCCAGCCCCAAGGTCAAAGGGTGAGATGCTCCCCTGGTGCTGAATGAATGACTCAGCGAGTCAGGGAACGAGCGTGTGGACAGAACACCGGCTGCAGTGCCCGGCCCAGAACTGGTGTCGGAGCAGGAGCCACCGTCTCAGCGTCACTGACGCTGCACCTGCTCCAGCAGCAGCGGGCACTGAGAGGGCTGCCCGGCGGGGGCAGATGCAGAGCCAGCGGGGCCTTGGGGAGGCAGGGACACGCAGTCCTGTCCCAGGGGCACAGTCAGCAGGAAAGGGGGCTGCGGTCAGGAGCCGGCTGCCTTCCACCCCCTCCCCCCCCCCCACCGCCAGACAGGGTCGCTCTGAGCACCGCCACCCGGAGGGGCTCCCGGCACCCAGAAAAGTCTTGTCCAAGAGCCCCTCTCCCTGGAGCCCCCGCCCTGCTCTGTCACGGGCTGGCCGGTGCTTCCGTGGGCACAGCTGGGAGGCGTGGGGGGGCCCACGGGGTGGCGCCCTCCTTCCTCCCATTCCCACCGAGCTGCCCCGCCCATCCCACTCTCGTCAGGGAACCAGGGACCGCCCCCCCAGACCCTGGGAGCTGACCCCCCCAACTCAGAGGGGCTGCTCGGGAGCCGTCCCCCTCTGTGCTGGCTGAGTCTCCGCCTGGACTGGGGATGGCCGGCCAGCCAGCGGGTGGGCACTTCAGCGAGCTCGTTAAGGGTCGTTTTGCCCCCTTGGCAAGGAACGTGGAAATTAAAACCCACTGAGGACGGAAGGAGAGGAGAAATGCCTGCCGAGGAAAACCAGTTATGGGGTGACGTGAGAAAAGCCCCCTGGCAGGTGGAGGGGCTCCTGGGCTGTATCCTGTCACCCACAGCCTCCGCAGGGCCTTCCTAGCCAGGCCACCCCAGCAACGCTGGGTCCGCCCCGAGGGCACGGCCAAACGGGCCACCCAGGGTGATACCTGTCAGTGCAGGAGGACAGGAGGGTGGTGGGGGGTAATGCAGAAGGACGGCAGGGGCAAGGGGAGGAGGCACCAGTGAGGCTCCTTCACCAAGAGCAGGAGGCCAGGCCTCAGAGGGCCCCAGCCCACTAGCGCCCTGGGGCAGCGGCCTACAGAATCTGGGTGGGCGGGGGTGGGGCTCCAGTGCGGGGGCACCAGCACAGGCACCTGTGCCTCCCTGGGACACGAAGCCGGCTCCATTCCCCCCCCGCCCCCCCCCCCCCCCCCCGCGGGGGGGCCCCCCTCGGGGGGGGGGGGGGTGGCTGTAGGCTGAGCCCCGTGGCCCCGTTCCAGGCATGTCTGTGGGTGCTCGCATGTTTAGGCTGGCAGGGACCGTGGGCATCCCCGAATGCCACCTGCCTATTTGAAAGTTCGGGAAACCAAGGGCCAGACTGACTGAGGGGCTCCTGTGTTCGCCTGGACTCGGGGACAGGGCTGTCCTGAGACCCACCTCCCCCCTTCCCTGCCACCACCATGTCTTCTGAGCTAGGGTCCACCTTTCTGGCCCTCCACTGATGGGCAGGGTCCCAGAGAGGGGGACTAGAGGCACACCTCGGAAGGGTGAGCCCCCCGTGCACTGACCGCAGTGGACGTCCCAGACTACAGGACCGTGGGACCCGGGCTGCCTCTCCCATGCCCACGTCCTGGGCACGAATGCCGAGCACACTGCCCAGCTGAGGGGGTCTCGAAGTCAGCCTCCTCTGAGGGCAGGGCCTGTCTCGTTCGCCAAGTGGCTGTTCTTGGCCCCTCAGCTGAACGGCCCAACAGCAACATTTTAGGCTTGAAAGAGGTTAGCGCCTGAGTCCCTGACTGGGTCCCCGCCCCCAAGCTGCCCTGGCCTGGTGGCCTGGAGACCCCAAAGGAAAGGCATGGGGGAAAGGGCCAGCCCCTCCGCGCGGGGAGTCCCGCCCCATCTCGCCACGTCCCCTCGGGGCCGGCAGCGGTGGCACGGGCAGTGGGCGGCATGGGAAGACTGGCCCGGGGCTCTGCTCTGCCCGCCTTGCGCGGCCCGAGCGAGCCTCCGCCCGGCCCCGGGGACAGCAGATGGCTGTCCACCGGCCGCTCAAGCCTCGGGCTGCCCCTGGATGCCGCGGCCAGCTTGCCGCTCTCTCCAGGCCACCCTCAGCGCCACGGCTGCGGAGCTGAAGGCCCTGCAGGCCCAGTTCGAGGACGCCATCTCGGCCCATCAGAGAGAGGCCGCGGCTCTGAGAGACAGTCTCCGGGAGATGGCGGCAGAGAGAAGCAACGCCGGGAGAGAAGTGAGGGGGTGCCAGGAGAGGGGTGCCGGGAGAAGTGGGGAGAGGTGCCGGGGAGGGGGAGGGGTGCCCGGAGACCCATCCATCCCACCAGCCCTGGGCAGAGCCCGCGTGCGGTGGGTCTGGCCAGGCTCTGCCCACATGCAGCACGACGCACGGAGCCCAGGGGACTGGGCACTGGGTGGGGTGGAGCTGCCCTGGGGGTGCCCGGGGGTGGGGGGAGTAGAGGGGCAGAGGTGTGGGGTGTTTGTGGTGTTTCCGGGGCCGACCGTGCGTGGACCCGGCCGCGGCCTCAAGGCTGACGCAGGGGCCCCCAGGAGCCATGGGCCGGTGTCCTGCGGTGGGGGAGAGTCTTGGGCAGGGCAGGCCAGGCCAGGCTGCGGCCCAGCGGGCAAGCAAGACTGGGGAGGTGTTCCTGAGGGAGACATGACAGCACCTGGGGAGCCTGGGAGAGGGGAGGGCAGGAGGGCACGGGGATCTGGGCTGGGGGAGGGTGAGCCCGCGCCCAGGTGGGGCCGCGAGGACTGGGGGACCCGTGCCCTCCCCGGGCCAGGCGCCGAGGCCGGCAGGCAGCGTGCTGACCCCAGAGCTCGGGGGGGGGGGGGGCGCACAAGCAGGCACCGGCTGCTGAGGCAGCAGCAGAGAGAGGGGGGCTCCTCAGCCCTCCCCCAGCGCCCCCAGGGGCAGGCCCCGTGGTGGAGGGAGAGGGAGGGAGAGAGCATGATTTAACATGACAAGCTGTTTACTTTGGCCCCCAAAGAGAAAGGTCTCCTTTCAACAGATTTCAAAGTCAGGCCCGGTCAGCGACCACACGGGGAAGCAAAATGCGATTTTAAAACTGGGGGCTGCAGGGGAGGGGCCAGGAGACTGGGGGCACATTTGTTCTGGAGAGGTGAAAGAGGAGAGAGCACAGGCCTCCCGAGGAGCTCAGGTTCCCAGAGAGGGGCCCCCGGAAAGGAAAGGGGGCCCCCGGGAAGGAGAGGAAACCCCTAGAAAGGAAAGGGCCCCAGGAAGGAGAGGGGGGCCCCGGGAAGGAGAGGAAACCCCTAGAAAGGAGAGGAAACCCCCGGCAAGGAGAGGGG